CATGCAAAAACACATTGATCATTATATATGCGCAACTTATAATATTTTGTTTTTCAAAATGACTGGTCCTTAATTTCATATCTAATTATTACATTTATTATTATAATTAAGTACACAGGCCGCTAAATTTAAACTATAGTTTAAATGTAAATATCAGAAGAATACTCAAACGGGACAAGCGGATGATCTAGCTTCCCACCTCAGAAATACACTAAAACCTTCATATTGGAAGAAAACAATCGTCCCCTCCCCCTCCTTAGCAGTATTCTGTCTGGTAAAAACTTGCAGCTGAATGGAAATGACCAGAGGGCAAGAATCCAAGAAAAGTCCCATATTGTAACAGAGGAAACAGATCTGTATGGAGAAGTCAGAACACTCCATGTGTTGGAATACAGTGTTCATGTATTTTATGCAACAACTACATCAGTATTCAGTAGAGATATATTCTTCAACCAGTAGATGGCAGTGTCTATACATTTGTAGCTACATCTATGGGATATACTCTGTGTCTTTTAACTGAATAAAACGTTTCCTGTTTCCTTGTTGCATTGAAGCAGAAAAGCACATGTGGGCTGTGCACTGTCTGTTCTGTAGAGATAAATAAAGAATCTCTAACTAAATACAATAAAAGAATGTAGCGCTACTTTCCCAAACATGTATGCACACATAAATAATAAAAAAATGAAAAATGTGAAATCACAAAATTACATAAAAATATAAATATAAATGTGATGGTGATATCAATTAATATTAATTAGTGCCCATGATTCATTGAATCCACACAATAAAATAAATAACTCAAAACATGTGAAAAAACATTTCCATATATATTATATATATATATATATTATATATACACACACATACATATATATAATTCTGTGTATCTATAATCACACGTGCCTCTTATGTAGTGAAAAAACCACTATAACAGTACAAAAAACAGTGCTCTCAAAGTCCAATAAATGCTGCTGGTGACCAAAGAAAATCAGTGCTTCCAATAACTACTGTTAGTGACCATAAACAGAACTCGTGTAGATCTCTGAGTGCATGTGAATCTGACAATCCGACCACCATCTGGATAAGCCTCTCACCTCATCACTTCGACCCTTGCGGATCAAAGAGCTTTTGTGGATCCCTAACACTATGTCCATGGAAGGGACTGATAGGTCATTCAATAATTGCTATACAATCTCATATTCTGCGATGGAAATGTGTGCCGGGTGATTTTGATAAGTGATGTCACCATATAGAGGAACACCTGTAAGGAAGACTTCATATTGACTGGTCACAGCCCCACCCCCTGAGATGGTCCAGATTTCTATACTCCTAAGTCATTATTATTGATCTTTCTCTATGATCACAGATCTTGATATCCATTCAGTACTCCTTGCTATAACTAAGTGAAGCTGAAATATTATTCATTACCTACATTTTGTTCTTAAATGGAAAATAATTAAATGAGAGATATTTCATCAAGACATTTTTGTCTGGTCACAGCCCCACCCCCTGGCAGGTCTTTGCAGAGAACAGTATAACAGCAGCTGTCAGGTGTTCAGGAGGCGATCCTAGAAGTGTAACAGAGTAACCTCATATGCTGTTATAGGAAAGAGCTATAAGGTAAGTACTGTATGTGGACCTGCTGCAACCACCCAACAAGAGTGTTCCCACACTATAGAATCTAAATGAAAAAGTCTACTATAATGGTGTGCTATCCCTTTAAATAAGAAACCAATCAATATTATGTGTACAGAACTCCCTCCTACTCAAAATAATGAACAAACAAGACATATACAGTATAGCAACCAAAATGTCATACAATGTATATAAAGCAATTAGTGCAAAAAGTGACTAACAAACATACATAAATATGCCAAGTATTGTTGTATCACCCAATAAAAACTGGAAAATAACAATAAGAAAGTCTTATAATAGCAAATCAACTGTTCTAAATCCACCAATTTTTTAACTCCGTAAAGCAAAATGAAAGGTTCTTCAATCGTGATAAAACATACTGCAGTGCCAAATTCTCCAATGTGCCACCAATCCACCACTATGTGCAAATGCCCCCGCTCACCTCAAATGTTTGACCTGGATATGTCAATGCACTCTACTATGTCATAGTTGCCAATCCACCATCCACCTGTTAGTGCACACTTCTCATGGTAGGACCCCTTAGGTTATAATGCTTCCATTCACGGTATGTAGGTACCCTGATGAAGTCACGTGACCAGAGATGTAACGCGTTGGGCGGAGCTAGTGATGTCAGTTCCGGTTAGGACGTGAAATCCAAAGTGTGATGAGCTGCTATACATTGCTCTTAGTGTTTTTACAAATGTGAGCGTGTTTTAGCTATAATAAACGGTGATAAATTTGTTACTCTGTTGCACACAATGAGAGCTTCTTTATTCTATGTTCCAGCCATACTGTGAATGGAGACAGCATAACCCTGTCACTTAAATGGACCTACCATGATAAGTGGGCACTAACAGCCGAGAGGTTGGATCTGCAAGTGCCACATACTAGAGTGCACTGACATATCCAGGTCAAACATTTGAGGTGAGCGGGCATTGCACTTAGTGGTGGATTGGTGGGACATTGGAGAGTTTGGCACTGGAGTATGTTTTATCATGAATGAAGATCCTTGCATTTTACTTCACAAAATTGGTGGATTATGGACTGTTGGCTTGTTATTATAAGACTTTTTTATTGTTATTTTCCAGTTTTTATTGGGTGATAAAACAATACTTGGCATATTTATGTATGTTTGTTAGTCACTTTTTGCACTAACAGACGGCAATCCTGCCACCTCCTGAATGTATGTTTCTTTTATTTCAGCAGGGATCTTGTATGAAAATATTGCACTGCAAATGCTCGGCTTGTGGTTGTGGCACGCTTCCGCTGAATTTAATGTTCATGTTTGACTGGCCGTGTCACCTATCAGACTCTGCTAGCCGAGCTAAAACTTGCCACAGCCACAAAGAAATGCAGCAGAATCTTGTCATGTGTACAGCCCCAATTTAGGTGGGAAGTTGAAGGAGATACAAACACTTTTCTCTCCACCCCCAGTGCCTGAAACATGTTACTGTCAGAGCTTTTTCTTGGAGCTTTTATGAACCCCAGGAATTGTGTGACGAATGAAGCATTTACTTCTGTTTTTACATGTTTCCTTCATTTCTGGAGTCTGGGGAAAAAACTCCCACTGTGAGTCTGATGTGCATTTAACCTAAGCAATCATTGCAGGTAATGACAACACCAAACAGGATACATACATACTGAGCATATTCCTGGAACTGGAAGTAGGAAAACCTCAAAGACCACCAGTAGATGGCAGTATCAGTCCATTATTTTATGTCCTATAGGGATAAGGTAGGGACTATCAGTGAGTAGAGACATGTACACACAGGGATGGGTTTGGCAGGTATATGCTCCAGGGTAGGGATATGCTTCAGGTTCAGGTCGCATTTGAGTTGGACTAGAACATAGCCTGTCTGGGGTGTGGGGGATGGGGGAACATAATGGCCAGATTTGGACAGTTCACTCACCTGAATGGCACAATCTCTGGCCGCTTTGTTCACTAACAGAAGCCAAATTCTCTGCATATTTCTGATAATTAAAGTTGTCATCATGATTAATAATCATCTCTCTAACAATCAATATTAACCACTTGCCCTCCTGAGGATTTACCCCCCTTAATGACCAGGCCTCTTTTTGCTACTCGGCGCTGCACTAATTCAACTGATAATTGCGCGGTCATGCAAGGCTGCACCCAAACAAAATTTACGTCCTTTTTTTCACACAAATAGAGCTTTCTTTCGGTGTAATTTGATCACCTGTGCGCTTTTAATTTTTCACGCTATAAACAAAAAAAAGCCAAAAATTTTGAAGAAAAACAATATTTTTTACTTTCTGCTATAAAAAAATATATAGTAAACTCAAAGTTGGTTATAAATTTTGGCCAAAATGTATTCTGCTACATGTTTTTGGTAAAAAAAAATCCCAATAAGTGTATATTGATTGCTTTGTGTGGAAGTTATAGCGTCTACAAACTATGGTATAGATACTGCAATTTACGCCATTTTTCTGCTATACAGCGCTGCGCTAGTTTAACGGACAGTTGCGCGGTCATGCAATATGGTACATAAATGAAATTTACATCCTTTTTTTCCCCCACAAATTGAGCTTTCTTTTGGTGGTATTTGATCGCCTGTGCGGTTATTATTTTTTGCGCTATAAAAAAAAGGCTGACAATTTTGAGGAAAAAAACAATATTTTGGACTTTTTGCTATAAAACATGTCCAGTAAAAAAAAATGCAAAAATCAAATGTAGTCATAAATTTCTGCCAAAATGCATTCTGCAACATGTCTTTGCTTAAAAAAAAACCCCAATACGTGTAAATTAATTGGTTTTACGTGAAAGTTATAGCGTTTACAAATGGCGGGAAAGATACTGGGATTTTAAATTTTTATTTATACTAATAATGGCGCCGATCAGCGACATATAGCGGCAATCAGCGACATATGGCGGTGACCAGCGACTTATGGCAGGACTGGGGGGGGGGAACTGACTTGGGGTCACTGACATTCCCAGTGACACCAATACAGTGATCAGTGAAAAAAAACCACTGAAACTGTACTAATGTCACTGGGGAGGAAGGGGTTAACATTTTTAGAATTTGCTGTGTAAGGGAAGTGTTTTACTAGGGGGGGCGGGGGTGTGTACTGGACGGGGGGAGGGGGGAGCTGATCGAGGGAGAGAAACTCTTCTCTCCCTCTGCAGCTTGTCAGCGAACTGTCACAGAGCAGGCTGTGTGTAAACAATGCAGCCCTGCTTTGTGTCAGTGATTACCGCTCATCGCGGGAAAACGTCCGGTAAAAAAACTGGCCATGACCCGGCGGCGGAGACCCGCTGCTGACACCCGCGGGGACAGGCAGGGCGGGGCGCGCGCGAGGCCCCTACCTGTTTTGAAGGCAGCCGTTTTAGAACGTGCTTTTGCCTATGAGCGCCGCCCTGCCACTGTTTATATGCGGTGGCAGGGCGGCATGTGGTTAACATAGAAGTTAAATAAAAATGTGTGTATGAATGTTCCCGGAGTGACATCTGTGATTGTGTTTCTTCATAAAAGAGGAAGGAGGTTTTTGTACGGCTCTGTATCACTGTGTGAGGGAGATCATCATACTGCAAACAGTGATATCTTCCTTCATCATCTTCAGTCACAGCAGTAATTGTCAGAGTGTAACGAGTGTAAGGAGATCCATCACTCCTGCTGCCAGTGAACCGGTCCTGGGACTCCTGTGTGTCGGGTGGCTGCATTATAGATGAGAAGTGTTGGGGACTTTCCTGACTTCTGTTGGTACCAGACTATATAATTCCCTGTGCCAGTACTGGATGTACATGTGATGGTGATTGTCTGTCCCGGGGACACAGAGATAGAATCCGGAGTCTGAGTCATCACAATCTCTCCACAGGATCCTGAGGATGGGGAAGAGACATATTGATTATTGATCAATGTCTGGATATCTTCCTATCAATCCTGATGTGTGTATTTATTGTACAATGTATAGATGTATGTGCAGAGGAGGATGGAAGGAGCCTCATCTCTCACCCTGAATAGAAATGAAGATGACAGCCAGCAGATAACTGGGAGAAAGCATCTTGATGTTTCTGGAGGGTCAGATCCAAACTAGAAGACGTCTCCTGTACAATGAGATATATAGAGAGAGTGACAGGGGAGGTGTTCCCCCCACACACACTGTGTATGCAAATACCGTGGAGATGGAAGTGAGAATTCTCAGATCAGTGATCTGTGCTAGAAACACTCCAGTGGGACTCAGCTACATCTGATCACACTAAAACATTATACTCACCTCTGTTCACCTAAACCAGTGGTCTCCAAACTGCGTCCCCAGGGGCCCTTTGCTTAATTTTATCCAGCTCTTGGGGCATTATTCCCTCACTGTCTGATACCAATGATGGGCACTATTCCTCCTACTGATACCAATGATGGGGCACTATTCCTCCCCGTTGATACCAATGATGGGGCACTATTTCTCCTCCCGTTGATACCAATGATAGGGCACTATTCCTCCTACTGATACCAATGACGGGGCACTATTCCTCCCACTGACGCCAATGATGGGGCACTATTCCTCCCACTGATACCAATGATGGGGCACTATTCCTCCCACTGACGCCAATGATGGGGCACTATTCCTCCCACTGATACCAATGATGGGGCACTATTCCTCCCACTGATACCAATGATGGGGCACTATTCCTCCGTTGATACCAATGATGGGGCACTATTCCTCCCGTTGATACCAATGATGGGCACTATTCCTCCTACTGATACCAATGATGGGGCACTATTCCTCCCACTGACGCCAATGATGGGGCACTATTCCTCCCACTGATACCAATGATGGGGCACTATTCCTCCCGTTGATACCAATGATGGGGCACTATTCCTCCCGTTGATACCAATGATGGGCACTATTCCTCCTACTGATACCAATGATGGGGCACTATTCCTCCCACTGATACCAATGATGGGGCACTATTCCTCCTGTTGATACCAATGATGGGGCACTATTCCTCCCCCGTTGATACCAATGATGGGCACTATTCCTCCTACTGATACCAATGATGGGGCACTATTCCTCTCATTGATATCAAGAATGTGATACTATTCCTCCCACTGACACCAGTCATGGGGAATTTTTTTTACTGCCACTGACACCAGGAATTTTCTACTCCCACTGACCACAGTTTGGAGACCCCTGACCTAAACTAAAGGGTCTAATTATAGAAAAAGACAATCAGTGGACAGCTATGACAAGCATTGGCCCATCCTTGACAAATTCTGGCCATATTTTTCCTAATACAGTGTTTTCCTATGATTGTCAGCTCCATCTAGTGGCCATAATGCAGTTTATTTCTGAAACAATTATGGCCACTAGATCTTAGAGCTTACAGTAATAAGAAGTCACTGTATTAATAAATTATATCTAGAATTCGGGCAAGGATGGTCCAATGTTTGTCACATTCATACAACATTTGTTTTAAAAATAGACCCCTAAGTGACAGGGGAGATGTTACACCTCAGAAGTTGTGTATGAGAATTAGACAGAATGAAATATATGTGAACACCCTGGAATATTAAAAAATGACCGGTCAGTAAGGGGGCAAAAATCCAAGAAAAGTCCCATATTGTAACAGAGGAAACAGATCTGTATGGAGAAGTCAGAGCTCTCCATGTCCATGGAAGGGACTGATAGGTCATTCAATAATTGCTATACAATCTCATATTCTGTGATGGAAATGTGTGCAGGGTCATTTTGGTAAATGATGTCACCATATAGAGGAACACCTGTTAGGATGACATCATAATCAGAGTGTTGTCCTAGTGGTGTATCCCGAGGTGATACATGTCTGCTTTAGTCTGAATAATATTCTGTATATGACCACATTTTTCTGTTCCTGTATTCATTTCTCTGTCTGGTCACAGCCCCCGCCCCCTGAGCAGGTCCAGATTCTATACTCCTAAGTCATTATTATTGCCCCCCCCCCCTATGATCACAGATCTTGGCAGCCATTCACTCCTCAGTATAAATAAGTGAAAGTTTCATCTGAAGTATTGATCATTACCTACATTTTTTTCTAAAGAGAGAAACCTGAGATATTTCCTCACCACCAAATTTTTGTTCCCTAATCAATGGTTTTTGTGACTTTCCAAAAACAAAAATCATCCTCACATGGGGCTCTTTCACATGGGTGGCAGTGCTTATGGTCCTCTGAAAAGTGATCCACAATGGATTGCTTTTCAAAGGATTGTATAGCAGCCTAAGTCATTTTCAAAAGAATCCTCTATGTCCAAAAATCCAGTTGTGCAATCAATCAAATATGTACTACATGTTGTGCTCTTTGTTTCTAAAATCTTTGTTTATATGATCACCACATGTAGACACCCATCCACCGACAGTAATACGCTCTTGGCTTTTTGATAGACTTCACAACAAGGTCTCATGTGCCTGTCCCTTGTAGTGGGGTCACCTATATCACAAGAGTCATGGTTTCCTCCAGGTCAAGAAGATTTCAGAAACGAAGAGCACAACATACATCCATATTTTATGTATGATTCTATGTTTTTGTATATAGATGCATATAATACACGCATGTCCACAAAAAATACTTTATTATAAGATCTAGTTTATGAGTTGTAGTTATGGGTGTGGCTTGTTTCACATATATGGTGATGAGTTAAACACATATATTGTATAACATACTTTATTATAAGTTTTAGTTTGAGTATTGTTCCAGATATATTGTGATGACATAGACGCATACATTCTATGCATATTCTATGTTTGGACATAAACACATAGGATACACGCATGTCCACCTAATTCAGTTTATTATATGATGTTATGTGATATTGCACAGCACATGAGAATTTATCATCGGAAGATTTAGTACTGCGCAGCACTGAGTCCCTTATACTGTTATACTAGCATTAGTTATACATCGCTGTTAGATAGAGTTTTCTTCCATTAGTTTGCACTGTTTAGGGTGATTGCACTGAGGATTTTTCATTGCTGCCAGGCATTCCGGAGGCAATCCTGCCACCTCTGAATGTCTTTTTTTTTTTTGTTTTTTTTTTTACCTAAGGGGGATTTTGTACTACACAAATGCTTGGCTTGTGGTTGTGGCACACTTCCTTTGTCTTTAATGGGCATTTGTGACAGGAGGTGCTACCTGTCACACTCTGCTAGTCAAGTTAAAAAAATTGCCACAGCCACAAAGCAATGCATTAGGACTATGCCATGTGTACATCCCCAACTGGTTGTAATGATAGAATTTATGTGGGCAATTGGGGGTGGTATAACCATAGTTCAACCACCTGTTTTTAATGTTCTTTGGTCACCCATTTGAAAGAGGCCATAAGACTGAACTCTGTGTCTGAACAATTTTCTCTCCATCCCCTGTTCCTAAAATGTGATACTGTCAGAGCTTCATCAATAACGTTTATGATCCCCAGGAATTGAAGCATTTACTTCTGCCAGAAATTTTCCCTTCATTTCTGGAGCCAGGACAAAATCTGCCACTGGTTTGCATTTAACATAAGCAATATTTACAAGTAATTATAAGACCTCACAAACACATATGAGTTTATGAATAATATCAATGAAAATATGCTGCACTACATATACAAAAATGCACAATACCTATAAAATATATATACGTAGAACAGTGATATCAACAGAAATGATGTGACTCAAAAAATTTATGAAATTAATATTCCAAAAAAAAAAATTAATTAAAGTCCAATTTTTTTATGTGTTCTCCTGTGACCCCTCCTTGAGATAACGACCACCGTGTGCATCTGTCACAGAATTCCAGTGCAAACCATCCTCCACCATAAATCTGCTCACCTCACCACAATCCTGGAGCAATGTGTGGATTACTACTACCGCTATCGCAGTAATCTCTCCAGGATTGTCATATTTGTAGGCAGTTGCAGTTATACACAGGGCCCTGCATTGCCTTCCTGTATACTTTGTATAGTGACAGTTTGGAGCCTGGACTGGTTCTATGCTGCTGGGGATGATACTGCCATCTTGTGCCCAATTAGTACATTACTGGATGTTCACCATACATGGTGCAGATATGGACCTCCGGAATGTGAGTGCAGTACTTATGTTTAATGTGCATGAAAGTTTTTAAAGGATAAAGCACTATTTTGAGCTTTAGTTTATGAGGACTACGGCTGAGTCTGAGGCGGTTTATCTGGAGGAAGCATCTTTTGGAGCTATTATTCAGCAATTTTTATCTTCAGAGTCCATACATTTGGGACCAAAAGTGCAGTTAGACCAAAACATTGTATAGTGTGAGGCCACACTGCTGGAGGTGAGCAGATTTATGGTGGAGGATGGTTTGCACAGGAATTCTGTGACAGATGCACACGGTGGTCATTATCTCAAGGAGGGATTACAGGAGAACATATAAATTATTGGACTTTAATTCATAAACAGTAAACACTTGCATTTATTCACAATTTTTTTATCACTAACATATGAGTTTATGTTCAAAGTATGCTGGATTTATTTTTGCCAGAGAAGTTTGAGCGTTTATGCATGTAAGACTTTGAACGTAAATACATTCTACTGGACAGAATATTAATCTATGAATACATGTTCCAGCACATGGAATACACATACAGTACATGTGTGAATTATTCCC